TTGTAAGGGGAGAGGCATACAGTGATGAATAAGTCACAGTCTTTCTCTTTGGTCTTTCATATTAATGGGGGAAGCACACAAATATATAGTTAAATTATATGAACACATACCCCTATAATATATAGTTGTGCTGAGTAGTAGTTTTGACTAAGGGTCTATACAGATTAAAAGAGGTATAGACTAAAGCTGCTAGAGGACACCTTGCTCTAACCTTAGGAATACTTGATGAAACTGTGATCAAAAATTATAAACACAGGGGCGCCTAGGTGGTAGAGTTGGTCGAGCATCTGACTCTTGGTTTCAGCTCGGGTCATGATCTAGGGATCATGGGATTGAGCCCACGTTGGGCTCTCTGTTCAGCTTAGAATCTGCTTGAGACTCTCTCTCCCTCTCTCTCTCTGCCCCTCCCCCTGCTCTCTCTCTCTGAAAATAAATAAATAAATATTTTAAAAATTTATAAACACAGAAGCCCACAGAGTCACTGATTTTTTTTCTCAACCAGATATATGGTGGGAAAAGTATGTTGTATCCACTTCTGACTGTTTCCAGTCTTGATAATGATGCAGAGGAGAAGACAACTTAACCATAGTGTCTGCTAAATGATTAACTCTTGAAGGAACTATTATGACAACCACCAACAAATATTTATTTGCTCCCACCATGATAGATGCTGTGGTTGTTGGTGGGGATAGGGTCCCATGAAGGTCACCTCTGTTACAAAGACTTTCCTGGTCTCTCCAGCTAAATTTTTCTCTGTACACTTTACCTCTTCTTTGGCATTTATCACATTATATATTACAGTTTGTTCTCTCTCTCTAATTCAGTGTTTGATTTTTTTTTCCTTGGTGGGGGGGAGTGGCAGTGGGAGAGGGAGAGAGAGAATCTTAAGCAGGCTCCAAGCCCAGTGTGGAGCCCAAAGCAGAGCCCAATGCAGGGCTTGGTCTCACAACCCCTGAGATCATGACCTGAGCCAAAATCAAGAGTTGGATGCTTAACTGACTGAGCCACCCAGGTGCCCCCTGTGTTTGATTTTTGGATGTAGAGGCTATGTGTCACTTGTTAGCTCACACATAGGTGGTTTTTACTCAATGTAAATGGATAAGTGAATGAATGAGTGAGTGGAATACCAAGACCTCAGAGTGGTGTTGGGGAGATAAATTATGTACACATGAAAAAGTAATTATAATATTTCAGGTCATCAGTAATGTAGTTGGAATAAGGAAATGCTCTGCAGCTATACCCATCAAAATGGGTAGAATTGAAAAAAAATGAAGGAAGATATTACAGAATAATGAATGAATGAATGAAGCATCTACTATATGCAATGCACTGTGTCAGGAAGATACAAGAGTGAAAAAGACTTGGGATGCCTGGGTGGCTCAGTCGGTTAAGCATTTGCTTTCAGCTCAGGTCATGATCCCAGAGTCCTGAGACTGAGTCTTGCATCGGCTCCTTGCTCAGCGGGGAGCCTGCTTCTCCCTCTACCTGCCACTCCCCCTGCTTGTGCTCTCTCGCTTTCTCTCTCAAATAAATAAAATCTTAAAAAAAGAAGAGTGAACAAGACTAACATAGACCTGCCCCTCATGAGAGAGGTAGATACAAAGCAAAGTACACAAATGATTATACAATGAAAATTGTTGTAATACTACAAAGGAATGCAATGAGGTTGTGTAGTAGAGGGACCGAATTTGGTGGCCGTATACTAGTGTGATGTTTAGGCAGAGACCTGCAGAGTGAGTTGAAATTATCCAGGAGTATTAGTTTCCTAGAGCTGCCACAACAAATGACCACAAAGGTGGTGACTTAAAACAATAGAAATTTATTCTGTTACAGTTCTGGAGCCCAGAAGTCCAAAATCAAGGTGATGGCAGGAGTGTGCTCCCTCTGAAGGCTCAAAGAGAAACACTTCGTTGTCTCTTCTAGCTTCTCATGGCTCCTGGAGTTCCACGGCTTGTGGCTGCATCACTCAAATCTCTGACCCTGTCTTCACAGGGACCTCTTTGGGTTTCTCTGTGTCTATGTGTCACAAACCTCCCTCTGCTTTCTCTTATAAAAACATCAGTCCTTGAATTTAGGGCCCACGCTAAATCTAGGAAGATGTCACCTTTAGATCCTTAACTTAATTACATCTGCAAAGGTCTTATTTCCAAATGAGGTCGCATTCACAGGTACCAGTTTGGATATATCTTTTGCCTGGGGACACAGTTCAACCCACCACATCAGGTGAATGGATATTCTGGAGTGATGGAAGGACAAAGAGCCTTTTATAGAGAGGAAACAGCATGTGTGAAAACCCTGCCATTGAAAGCAACACAATACTTTTATTCAAGCAATAGAAAGGAGGACTTCCTTTTAAGCATACATTGAATAGGTTTGTTTATAGCTGCTTCTTCCCAACGCCCCAATAAAAAGGACAGAAAATAAATATGAAATATAATAATTCACAAGGGTGAAGAGAAACAGAGACAACAATGGACTAGTATATAAATTTTTAGAGGATAGTAAGCAGAGGGAGGAGTGATTAATAACTTTAACAGAACAGAGAAAGCTGAAACTTGACATGTTTGCATATGGATGACAAAAAAGAACAAGCCCATTTCCCCAAAATTACAGAAAGGGTCAGTTCCTGGAAGCTCTAGGAACGGTGGAAGGTCAGAGTAAGTGATGGGGCTAAAACCAATGGTTAGCTGAAAGTCTATATATAAAACAGATTCCAATTCTTTTTCTGCATCTTTCATAGCCAAGTCTCTGTATTCCTCCTTTCTCCAGTCTCCGTAGGGCACCAGAGGTTTATAATCTGGAGAAACTGAATTCATTAGAGAAGTTCCACGCTTGAGGACAGAGGAGAGTCAGGCGCGGGACTGACAGAAAGCAGTATAAGCAAGAATTTGCACATTTAAAGGCAGCCCCCACCCCCACCAACCACCTTTTCCTGTTCATCTCCCAGAATGGTAGCAACCAAGGTTATGCCTTCCAGGTAAAAACAAAACAAAACAAAACAAAACAAAACAATCCAAAACAAAAACAAACAAACCCCACAAGACACTTCTCTAGGGAAACAGAATGGTCCCAGAGGAAAAAAGTTACAAGAACAGATACTTTTAGGTCTCTTAAATCACCAGGGTCCTTGCCTAAATGCCCTACAGTTGTCAAACCAACCTATGCTCTCAGAGCTTTAGTCAGCTCTTTAATATTCCAATTTAATACGAGTGGACAATTATGGGCCTCCATACATTGGAAGAAAGCCAGTATCATGAAATACAGAGACTAGGAAAGTGACTCAGAGGAAACAGATATTATAAAAAGCAGAAGAAAAACCTTGTAACTATAATATCCTCACAGAAATCAGAGAAGATATTCCATCCATGAAACGATACCCAATTTCTGTTAAAAAAATAGAAGAGCATTTGGAAATTAAAAATAAGACAGATTAAATAAAAAACTCTCAGGGGTTCTGGCTGGCTCTGTCAGTAGAGTACATGACTCTTGATCTTGGGGTTTTGAGTTTGAGCCTCACATTGGGTGTAGAGATTACTTAAAAATGAAATCTTTTAAAAATTTTTAAAAATTAAAACTTTCAGTATAGTGGCTGGAAGATAAAGTCAGAAAACTCTCAAAATATATAACAAAAAGGCAAAGAGACAGAACACACAGTAAATCTGATGTACAGGCATTTCAGAAAGAGAAAACAAAAAATATAGGGGAGAGGATTTTCTTTTTTTAAAAATATTTTATTTATTTATTTATTTATTTATTTATTTATTTATTCTTTTATAAGATTTTATTTATTTATTTGACAGAGAGAGACACAGCAAGAGAGGGAACACAAACAGTGGGAGTGGGAGAGGGAGAAGCAGGCTTCCTGCGGAACAGGGAGCCCGACGTGGGGCTCAATCCCAGGACCCTGGGACCATGACCTGAGCCAAAGGCAGACGCTTAACGACTGAGCCACGCAGGCGCCCCTAAAGATTTTATTTTTAAGTAATCTCTACACCTAATGTGGGGCTCGAACCCACAACCCGGAGATCTAGAGTCGTACACTCTACCGACTGAGCCAGTCAGATGCCCAATCCCTACTCCCTTTTGTTTTTAGGGGAGGGGATTTTCAAATGAATAATACAAGAACATTTCTCTGAACTAAGTTTCAAGATTGAAACTGTCTTTTAAATTCCCAGGATATTGCATGAAGAAACACCTACCTGAAGTGTAGCTTTGGTATATACACATGTTCTCAGACAGTTGTTCTGTCTCTTTCTAGTCACCCTGGTTGTTCAAAGCTCTTCTTCAGTAGTTTCCACAGGAAGGCCCATGGGAAAAATATGCAAGAAAGTCTGAGTTTGTGTCTCTTAATAAAAGTCTGCCTCTGCCCCTTTATATTTGAAAGTCATTTTTGCTGGATATAAAATCCTTGGCTCACATTTTCTTCTCTTGCGTAACTTAAACTATTACTCCATTTTCTTTTGGCCTAAACTGTTGCTGACAAAAGTTTGATGACAATCTAATTTTCTTTCCTTTATGTCATTTGCTGTTTGTGCCTAGATGCCCAAATAGGTTTTTCTTTCCAGTCCAGTAATTTTATTAGAAATGTCCTGGGTTGGTGATTTTCGGGTTGACATAAAGATGTATGTGGTATACTCTTTAAACATGTAGTTTTAAGGGTTTTTTTTTTTTAGACAAGATTTCTTGACTTACAGATTTAATATCTGTTTTGTCTAGCTTATTTTACAAGGGGGAGACCTATTGTTCTTACCTGCTCCTGGAGTGGACACAACCTTTTCCATGTTTCCTTCACATTGATTGCTTTTTCTCTTGGACAAAAAAACTGAGGAAGCTGTGTTCAGATGAGAATTATTTTTCAGTGTTCTGAAAGAATCTAGGATCCAAAAGTTACTCCATTAGCACATGTAAGCCTAGCTGTAATGCAATAATTTGCATTTATATAACAACATCCATCTAAGGAAGAACTGTGCTTCCTGGCATTAACTCATTAATCCTCACAGTGTCCTTGTGAAGGAGCTCATGAGCGTGATTATCTCCATTCCACAAATAAGAAATATGGAGCTGCTGAGAGGGTAAGTAATTTGGACAAGAATAAGTTGGGTATATGTAGGGAATTAATACTAGAATTAATACAAGTCTCTTGGAAACGAGTTATAAATGATTGGTTCAACACAGTTTGGTATTCAGATTTCTCAAAAAAATTTTGAGAAATGAATATCTTGCTTTGGCTTTATAACCAACAGAATCTGATTATTATTCAGTCTTTATTCACTCTGATGAATAACAAAAATTGTCTCATGGGATTCAAAGCCACATTTCTCCCTGACTGATAACTTTAGAGCCCAGAGGTCATAGACTCTGTGAAAGGAATCACAAGGTCAAGGGAGAAAGAAAGAGAAAGTCACTTGGCTTAATAGGTTATTAGCAATTTGTTTTTGGTTTTGAACCATCCAAAAGGCAACTTTTAAGACGACGATTTGGGTGCAAGTAGTTTCTTCAGAGGGTATCCCAGGAAGCGTATTAAAAGGATTGGAGAAATAAGACAGAAAAGAGGAAAGTCAATGAATGTTCCTTAGTGGGCAGGTTACAGCGGTGGCAATGGTCTGTCCTTTAGGGACCCACTGGAGACCCTGCAGACCATCCCTCAGACTTGTTTCACCCAGGAGCATGGAAGTTTTTAAATTCACCAACTCCTGCCTGTCTTTAGTTGAGGATCGTTCCTGTGGCACCTCTGGTCTGCTCTGTGCCCAGGCTGACAGTTCCTGTAGGGAAGGATGCTAGGAAGCTGCGGCATAAGTGCCTGACATTAGCTTTTAGTTGCCGAGGTATCGATTTCCAAGACACCCGTCCTGAATAAACCTATTGCCAGTTGTAGGACACAGCTACTAGCAACACAACCAGATCAGAAACCAGGCCACCCCCATCCATCAAGTTCCTCTTTTAGAAAGCCCTGGGTAACCTGGATCACTGACCACTTGAGTGACCCCCACTTCTCCCTTCCTGCACCCTAATTCCCACTCTTATGTTTTACATTTGCCAATAGAAGAGTGAACCCGAGAAACCCTAGGCACCCTACCCTTGGTCTTAACAAAGGCAGAGCCCAGGTCCGTGCTCCCGACTCTCTTCCTGCACTCATAATGAGAACCACAAACGGCCAGTCCAGCCACAACATTGGTTCTAGTCGGAAATGGCTGTGGGGGCTGCCACAAAGAGTATGGGCCCCGGGTGAGCGGCGTAGGCATTTCTAGCCCAAAGCATCACTTACCGCCAGCCTGGGACCAACACAACAGAAGCCTTGAGCAAGTCAGGGATCTCACAACCGAGACGGCCGGCGACCTCCGGGGTGGGCGTGGGGAGGTAAGAAGGCAGGACGCCTTGGATGCCTTGCTGCATTTGACTACCCAGCAGGTATTGAATACCTACTATGTGCCTGTCACTTTTCTGGGGGTAGGGCTGCGAGATAACGAAGGTATGGGGATTTCTCTGAAACATAAATTCTCGTCATGACTTTGTCTAGAACCAACCTTCAGTAGTTCAGACCTGCTTCAAGCTGCTACAGTATTACAGGAGATATGGAGAAATTTGTAAGCTGGAGATGGAAAAGCATTGAACAGCCTTAATGTATTCTATTCAGTTTGGTTTGACTGAGGGAGTGGTTCCCCAGCCTGCTTCCCTCATTTCTCCTCCCATCTAAGTGATAGGGCTTTGGCTTCACGCTAAGACCATGGCAGAATCCTCTTGTCTTATGAACGGCCTTTCACTGTGTTTCAGTTACTTCTTCCCCAGGAGGCACAGTATCTATTCATTTGGTTTACTTTATCTCTCCTAGATTGAATCACACATATACCTGCTTTTCTCCTGTTAACTTCTTTGCTTGTGTGTGTGTGTGTGTGTGTGTGTGTGTGTGTGTGTGTGTGTTTTCTCTTTTCAACCTGATTCTCCCTTTTAAAATTCTGTCCAATGACTGTGAGTCCATTTGGGACTTTCCCTTCCTATTCCAGTGTCCGCATAATGACTGCCCTTCCATGGCAATTTCTGATCTCCAAATTTACTGATATTTTAATATAATGCTGATATTTTCTGCTCTTTTCCGGTTTCCAAGGTGAAGCTAGGTGAATCTTTCCTTGGGTTAGTAGAGAGCGAGAAAACACAATCTCTGTCAGCTCTGCCTCACAAATGTATCCCAGGTAGCATTTATGGATTTTATTTATTTTTATTTATTTCTTCACTTGAGAGAGAGAGAGAGAACACAAGCAGGGAGGAGGGGCAGAGGGAGAGGGAGCAGCAGACCCCACCTGCCTAGCAGGGACCTCCCCCTTGACGCAGGGCTCCATCCGAGGGATCAGGACCCAAGCCGAAGGCAGAGGCTTAACCAAATGAACCACCCAGGTGCCCCACATTTGTGGGTTTTATTTTTTTATTTTTTATTTTTTTTTTAAAGATTTTATTTATTTATTTGAGAGAGAGAATGAGAGATAGAGAGCACGAGAGGGAAGAGGGTCAGAGGGAGAAGCAGACTCCCCGCCGAGCAGGGAGCCCGATGCGGGACTCGATCCTGGGACTCCAGGATCATGACCTGAGACGAAGGCAGTCGCTCAACCAACTGAGCCACCCAGGCGCCCTATTTTTTTATTTTTTAAAGATTTTATTTATTTGACAGAGAGACACACAACGAGAGAGGGAACACAAGCAGGGGGAGCGGGAGAGGGAGAAGCAGGCTCCCCGCTGAGCAGGGAGCCCGATGTGTGGCTCGATTCCAGGACCCTGGGATCATGACCTGAAGCTGAAGGCAAATACCTAACGACTGAGCCACCCAGGCGTCCCCATTTGTGGATTTTAAACATGGCTTCAGGAATCAGCCTCCTTTTCCTGACCGTTGTTTGGCCCTAATGGAATAATGATGACAAGATCCTCAGTTGAACCTGGGGGCACAGGTGATTTGTTATCTAGACAAAGTGGTATTTCTGCTCAATATTTGATCATGTGGTTATATTTCCAGACGGTTTTGTGAAGAAGGGAAATAAAAAAGATTGGGGTGGTGGGGGAGGATTTAAGTTATGTTTCCGTTAACTACCTGGTCGTGCGGTGAGCGACCACGATTACCATCGTGCAGCTCTCCTCTCTTCCTGGCCATCTGTGTGCTTTCAAGGTCAAGGTCAAGGCGAGACATGAAGAAGCATGTGTGTGCCTCCAGTGATAAAGCAAGGACAAAGTCACATGAGCCTGGAGGGTGCTAGCCATTGTGTGTTATCAGCACCACACAGAGGAGCTCTGGAAGCTGAGTTTCATGTTCTATCTGTCTGATTTGGGAGCTCTCCTCTACTGTCAAGAAAAGACAGAGAAGGTATATTTATGTAATTCTAGCCCACAAAAGTTAGCTCTTTCTCCCATAAAAACAGTCTGAGAAGGTGATGTAGTACAAGGCCAAAGACACAGATTCAATCTATAACTCACACACCAAATATTCTCATTTTGGTAGCACTTGGCAGTCCATTATGTTAATTTGGGGGGGCGGGGAAAGGAGAAGGGGGGTGTTGATGTCATTTGTTTATCATTTCAGACAACAATTCTACATGGGAGTCTCAAAGTCTTTCAAGAATCTTGGCCAAAAAGGAAAGGGGAGAGAGAGAGATTGGTAGCTATAGAGAGATGCAGGGTCAAAACCCAGCAAACCACCAAGGAAGCAACACCCACCCTAAAGGGATATTATCAAATACAGTTAGAAAATTTTGTCTCTGTCTTTAGTCTGTAATGATTCCATTGATTTTTTTTAAAAGATTTTATTTATTTATTTGAGAGAGAGAGAGAGAGAGCAAAAGCGAGGGGGACGGGGCGGAGGGAGAGGGAGAAGCAGGCTCCCTGCTGAGCAGAGAGCTCGACCGATCCCAGGACCCTGAGATCATGACCTGAGCCGAAGGCAGATGCTTAACCGACTGAGCCACCCAGGTGCCCCGATTTTCATTTTTTTTTTTTTGGCTAAAATGTCCCAGTGTCTAGTGAATGTCCCTTTCTGGACATCTGTTTTTTGCCTGCCCAACGTCTCTCTTCCCATTTGGTAACAGGACTTAAATTTCTTAGGGAGTCACTTCTCCCCCACTCTCAGTTCAAGTGGCTTAGGTGGGGCTGATTTTCTCTCGTTGCTCTACAGGTGAGAACACATCCCAGGCTTAGGCAATTAGAGCATTCCATCCCCTCTAGACAAGGTAATTGGCTCAGGGAATGGCCCTGATCCAAGCCAGACCATGAAATCAGCTCCAGAATTTTCACTGGAACTTTCGGGAGAGATCATTCTCTTTCTGCTGTGGTTGCTAAGGTGCTGGGATATAAGCCTGGAGCTGGGGGTAGTCACTTTTATCGTCATCTGGGGAGAACCTGCCTGAGAATAAAACTACCGCAGGGGAAACCACAGCCAGTAGGCACAGACAGAAGTCATGATGACAATGAATATTGCAATCTAGCAATGACTAGAATAAAAACAAATTATCCCTTGACTTTTCAGTTACATGAGCCAATACATTTTTCCTTTTTCTTTCTTTCTTTTCTTTGCATAAGCAAATTTGAGTTGCCTTTCTTGTGCTTGAGAACCAAAGAAATCTGGCTAATATAACTCTTTATTGATCAATGGCTTTTTCTTTCCATTGCTCTATTTGATTGGTCTATTTTTAAGATAAGCTTAGCCTTTTTTATTGTGGTAAAATATGCATCACATAAAATTTTCCATTTTAACCATTTTAAAGTATACAGTTCAGTGGTATTAAATACATTCATAACATTGTACAATTATCACCCTATCCATTTAGTTTAACCTTTTTAAAAAAATAGGATATCAGGTAAATTTTCTTCTTTATAACCTATTCCTAAGAGATCAAGTCAATTACAATAACGCTGAATTAAAACCATTATATGAAATTAACTTATACCAGCAAAACTGTGGGGGCCAGGAAATACGCCGTCCACAAGTCACAAAGGAGCTATTTCTCCCTATTTCATACTGAGTGGACACAATCTTGTTGCTCCCTGAGTACCTCTTACTCTAATTATCTTAGTTTGGGCTGTTCTAACAAAATACCATGGACTAAGTGGCTTAAACAACAAACATTTATTTCTTACTGTTCTGGAGGCTGGGAGGTCCAAGATCAAGGTGCCCACTGATTCAATTCCTGGTGCAATCCCTCCTCCTGGTTTGTGGATGGTTGCCTTCTTGATGTATCCTCAACTGGCAGAGAGAGAGAGATTGTCTCTCTCGTGTCTCCTCTTATAAGGGCACTAGTTCCATTCATGACGACTCCACTCTCATGACCTAATTACCTCCCAAAGGCCTCATTTCCAAATACCATCACATTGGACATTAGAGCTTCAATGTATGAATTTTGGCAGACATGTTAGTCCACAGCACTAATATTAGGATTATAGAAAGGTCCAGGACAAGGAAAGTCTTATTAAGTAATGAAAGCAGACTAAGACTCATCATCAGAGATACTGATGGATGTGTAAATACTATGGGATTCCCACTGGCAGATCAAAACCCTCCAAGTCCTTGATGGTGTGATTTGCAGTATTCTCACTTTTCTGAGTCTTTAAAAAAATAATTTTGAAAGCATTTTAAAACTTGGAAAAAAATTAGAACAAAGAGAGTACAAGGCACTGAAGTGATGTGATGATGGGAAATACATATGAGACTATAGTAAGATGGCGTGTGTGTGTGTGTGTGTGTGTGTATGCGTGTGTGTGCATGTGTGTCTGCAGTGGAGTTGTGGTGGTTGGGTGGTTGGTGGGTGCTGGCAGAATATAGAGAAAGCTGAGAAAAACACCGTCTCAGGCTCAACTGGGTAACAAGTGGTGGCCTTCACTTAGAATCCTAAGGTGATGTTAAGAGGCAATATTTCACTTCCCATCCTTCAAATATGCCTGTTTCCTTTGCTCTCTCTATTGTCCCTCTCTGTTTCTCTCCTGACACACTTTCTCTCCCACATGGGCCCTTCTCCCTTTCTTCCTCTCCTTTTCCTCTGTCCTGCACACAGTACCAGAGGCAGCAGCAGATAATACTTCTGCATGTCCCCAAAGCCCTTTACAAATCCAAAATGGGTCCATTAAGGCCAAGAATCTCCTTGGTTTCCCAAAGGATTTGCCCTGTTCTCCTGGCTAGCTGCATGGAGTTCAGAAATCATATTCACTGGTACATAGACATGAAATTTCCTTGTAGATTTTGGGTTATTGTGCTTTCAGGAGTTCCGCTATTTCAAGACCTCAGGATTCTTTCAATGGAAGATTCAGGGGAAGCGATAATGGTCCCCGTCAAGAATTCTTATTAAAAGTGGGAGTAATATATTTTTTCCCCAATTCTTAAGGACAATAGAAGGAAGTAGTGATGAAAGGCAATTGAGAGTAGTTCACCATGATCAAAATAGCTGCCTTGCTTGTTACTCTACGTATAATTCTTTTGTCATGTTGGGGTTAATGTGTTGAATCCAGATTTGGTTAATGTGTTGCAGATGTTGCAGAATACACCCCCCATATGAACAGAGTGAGAGTTTTCTCTGAAGGAATCAATTTTTCCTGGTGTCATTTATCCAACTGACCTTAACTCAGTAAACCAGAACTTAGAATCTATAACAGGGAACATGTGTCCCATTTGGAGTCTTGTCCTTGTTAGATTTTAAAGAGGGTTTTTCAGGGTGGTGTCTGGGTGTGGGCTCCTGGATAAGAGATGCAAAGATGGTGAGTATCATGTCTACTCATGTTCCATGGAGTGGAGCTCAGGCACTTGACCACAGCTAACTACAATGTGAGGTTGAGAAATGTAATTTAGTTGTGTGCCCAGGAAGAACAGAAAGGCGGGTTTGAGTAGTAGCTGACCAATCTTTATTGCAAACAACCACTCAAATATTTTCTACTCCCATTTCCTTTTCTTTTTTAAGATTTTTATTTTAATCTTTTAAAAAGATTTTATTTATTTACTTAAGAGAGAGAGACAGGGAGAGCACAAGCTGGGGGAGGGGCAGAGGCAAGGGATAAGCAGAGTCCCCACTGAGCACAAAGCCAGAAACCCAACTCAAAGCAGGGGCTCAATCTCAGGACCCTGGATCATGACCTGAGCTGAAGTCAGAGGCTTAACTGAGCCACCAAGATGCCCCTAAAGATTTTATTTTTAAGTAATCTCTACGACCAATGTGGGGCTCGAACTCACAACCCAGAGATCAAGGGGCACATGCTCTACTGACTGAACCAGCCAGGCCCTCCTCTACTTCCATTTTCTTTCTTTTTCCTCCATAACATTTTAAGACCATGTAATATGCTATATATTTCACTTACTTATTTTGTTTTGTTTTTTTAACTGTTTTTTTTTTTTAAGATTTTATTTTTTTATTTGACAGAGAGAGAGACAGCAAGAGAGGGAACACAAGCAGGGGGAGTGGGAGAGGGAGAAGCAGGCTTCCCACGGAGCAGGGAGCCTGATGCGGGGCTAGATCCCAGGACCTTGAGATCATGACCTGAGCCTAAATCAAGAGTTGGACGCTCAACTGACTGAGCCACCCAGGCGCCTCTGTAAGGATATCTTTTAGATTGCCTGTGTGTCCTTTCCAAAAGATGTCTTTTCTCTTGAACTAAATGTAGTTCTTTTCTCCTCTGACTCCTATAAAGAGCCTAGATTGAGACAGTACTTGCCTCATGAAATAGACTAGGAGGTGGGAAAAGACACCAGCAAGCAAACCGTACCTTTCAGGACACATTATTTTGTGGTATATTGTGCACTAATTCTTCCTCTTTTGCTAGTCCCCAAAGTATAATATTTTCTAATTTTCCAGCTTTGTCTTAGGTGTGTCTAGGGAAATTAAGAATGATGTATATATGTCTAGGGTAGTATGGCAGAAACTACTAACTGTCCAACAAAATCCATTCTCTGCTTCTTCCATAATAAAAAACTTACACTAGACCACAGCTGCATAGGCAGGGACTACATTTCCCAGCTCCCCTTGCAGCTAGGTATGCTCTGTACCTAAAGTGTCCCCGTGGCATGCACAGAAGTGATCTCTGTGACTTTTCACTTGCTTATGAGAAAATTCATAACTTCAGGTAACCATTCTTTTCTCTTGCCAGTTCCCCGGGAAGATGAAGACCAGAGTAACCTTTGAAACCACACACTGAGACTGCAGGACAGCTATCAGCCTGGGTCCCTGAAGAATCATGTAGACATATTTGGTTACCAATCTGGACCATCACTGGGACTGTTGTGAGAGACAGAAATAAACTTCTTACAATGGCTTATTATTTTTTGGTGTCTTGTAATAGTAGATTAATGAGAATTCCCAAAGAGAAAGTGAGTTTTGAGGTCAAAGCCAAGGCCTCTTCTCCAATATGGTGCAATGATTAAAATAATAGACTTTGGTAATCAAACTGCCTGGGTTTCATACTGGACTTCTTCACTTACTAGTTCCAACTTACTAGCAAACTGGGAAGTTTAGTTAATCTCTCTGGGCCTATGTTTTCTCTTCTCTTATATGAGGATAAAAGCAATACTACCTCAGAGGGTTATTGTGGGGATTAAATGAGATAATGTATGTGAAGAGCATGGTAAGAGTTCAAGAAACAGTAGTGATTATGATTTTTTTTTTAAAGATTTTATTTATTTGACAGAGAGAGAGACACAGCGAGAGTGGGAACATAAGCAGGGGGAGTGGGAGAGGGAGAAGCAGGCTTCCTGCTGAGCAGGGAGCCTGATGTGGGACTCAATCCCAGGACCCTGAGATCATGACCTGAGCTGAAATCAAGAGTTAGATCCTGAACTGACTGAGCCACCCAGGTGATCCTAGCTTTGGTTTTTCTAAATCAATCATGGGTAGACACTGAATGTTGTATTCTCTGGCTCTTCCAAATCAGACATTCTCATTTTTTTAAATTGAGGTACAATTCACAAACAATAAAATGAACAAGCTCTAAGTGTATAGATCAATGAACTTTGAAAAACATACATATCAGTGTAAGTACCACCCCAATCAAGATATAGAACATTTCCATCATTTCAGAAAGATCCTTCGGGACTTTTCCAGTCAATTCCACTCCCAGTGACAACCACTAAGCTGATTTCTATCATCATAGCTTAGTTTTGCCTACTCCAGAATTTTATATAAATGGAATCATACAGTGTCTGGATTCTTTCAAGCAACTTCAGGTTTTTGAGATTCATCCATGTTCTTGTGTATATCATGTCAAAGATAAAACTAAATCTGAGGCAAAATCAACAAAGACGTTTATTCATTTACTCTTGGCAAGGGAGCCCATCTGTCATCATTTTGCTTCAGCAGGGATTCAGATATATTAGAAGGGAAAGTAAGTTTTAGGGAGCAAAAAAGAGGAAATACTGAACAGTCCCTGACTGGGAAGTTTTCTATTAAGGTGGGATTTGGAGGAGCAGGGAGACTTTCTAATTGGTTTTCAAGTATTTTGTAGTCGTTGGTACCCTGCAAGGGGGAATGTGAGCAGTTTGGGGATATTTCAAAAGAGGAAGGAGTGTTCAGTGTGAGATGGAGGGTATTCTGTGGCCAGCCATTTCCTGGGACAAGTTTGGATCCATGGATGTTTATGGGTTTTTTTGGTGGTCAAATTGTCATAATGGTCTTTGGGGAATAGCTGCAATGATGTAATTTGGTCCATTTCATTGCTGAATAGTATTACATTCAACATACTGACCATTCTATAGTGAACCACAATTCACTTATCCGTTGATGAATTCTCTACCAAAAAAATTCAATATACACCCAAGTTGTTCAGTTAATAAGATTCATATCACAAAGGAATTCTTCAATTTCAAAAAAATGTTCCACAGACCCCCTTAAATAGGAATGACCCTAGCAGCACTTAGAAAGTAAATCTATTTACATAAAGTCAGTTAACATGTTTTTTAATGTAAAGATTTTATTTAAATATTGGAGTTCTATTCTAGAAGACCTTTGGTAAAATTACTTTTTAGTCCTGAGCTTATTGATACTCATTATACATTCATTTCCCCTTCTCTTTTGGGAAAAAAAATAGAAATACGAAACTGTGACTGTTGACTAGTTTTCTTAAGCAAGTCTCATCAAGATCTGTGTGCACTCTTCTTGGAAAAAAAATTTGCATTATCACCACAAATGGAATGTGTGAGGTTTGCCAAGTTCCTTTGGGAAATCATTAATATTTGTGCTAATATTAGTATAAACTGAACTATATTAATATTGTACTAATATTTGAACTAACAGAAATAAGAATATTAGTACTAAAGAATAGAGAGGGACCCATCCACTGCACCCTTCTTAACCCTTCTTAACTGTAATAGAAATACAATCAGATGTCATTGTTGCCCATCTTTTCTGCATCAGCTTTTTTTTTTTAAGATTGTATTTTTAGGGCGCCTGGGTGGCTCAGTTGGTTAAGCAACCGCCTTCGGCTCAGGTCATGATCCTGGAGTCCTGGGATCGAGTCCCACATCGGGCTCCCTTCTCGGCAGGGAGTCCGCTTCTCTCTCTGACCCTCCCCCCTCTCGTGTGCTCTCTCTCTCAAATAAATAAATAAAATCTTTAAAAAAAAAAAAAGATTGTATTTTTAAACAATCTCTACACCCCAGGTGGGGCTTAAACTTACAACTCCGAGATCAAGAGTCACATGTTCCGCCAAATGAACCAGCCAGGTGCCCCTGCATTTAGAAGTTTTACAAAGGGCCAGATGCTTTCTCCCCTTGTAGTAGAGGAAAACCACGGCAGGTGAGAACCATTGTGTTTGCCTTTTTGTTGAGTTGTGGGGAGGGCTACATCTGATTAAACTTATGAAGAAAGGAAGAACTCCCAAAAACAGAAGGCTGAAACTGGTGTGACAACACTTGAGAGTTGTTTAATTCTGTTTTGGTTAGACAATTAGCAGGTGTTAAAAATTCTTTTTATTGGTCTCTGAGTCTTTTGGTGTTTTAAAACTTTTTTAAAAAAGATTTTATTTATTTATTTGACAGAGACATAGATAGGGAACACAAGCAGCAGGGGTGGGAGAGGGACAAGCAGGCTTCCCGCCAAGCAGGGGCCCAATGTGGGGCTCGAACCCAGGACCCTGGAACCATGACCTGAGCTGAAGGCAGATGCTTAACGACTGAGCCACCCAGGCACCCAAAACTTTTTTTTATAATTTATTTAAAAGAACCAAAGTTTGGCCTAGCCCAGAAAGGGTATCCTCTCTGATTTTACCAAGTGCTTAACATAGGTACTAATTGATCTTTTTATATTTGTCTTTAATAAATCACCACTTCGCCTGAGCAAGTAGAAGAATAGTAATTTGCAAGATTGCATTGTCTACTTTTAAATCCTCAAGTGGAGTGATTTTTCTAAGAATTCTTTTTTGATTATATGCCTACATTGTACTTATCTTTAAAAAAAAGAAATCAAGATAAAAAGCGTCTGCACAGTGAAGGAAACAATCAACAAAACTAAAAGGCAACCTTTGGAATGGGAGAAGATATTTGCAAATGACATATCTGATAAAGAGTTAGTATCTAAAATATGTAAAGAACTTATAAAACTCAACATCCAAAAAACCAAATAATCCAGTTAAAAAATGAGCAGAAGACATGAATAAATATTTTTTTCCAAGAAGACATACAGATGGCCCACAGACACATGGAAAGATGCTCAATATCACTGATCATCAGGGAAGTATAAATTAAAACTGTAATTGGATATCACCTCACACCTGTCAGAATGGCTAAAATTAACACAGGAAACAACATATGTTGGTGAGGATGCAGAGAAAGGGACCCCTCTTACACTGTTGATGGGAATGCAAACTGGTGCAGCCACTGTGGAAAACTGTACAGAGGTTCCTCACAAAGTTAAAAATAGAGGGGTGCCTCGGTGGTTCAGTTGGTTAAGCGTTCGACTCTTGATCTCAGCTCAGATCTTGATCTCAAGCCCCACATTGGGCTCCACACTGGGCATGGAGCCTACTCGGAAACAAAAAACCAAAACAAACAAACAAAAAACAAAGTTAAAAATAGAACTACCCTATGACCCAGCAATTGCATTACTAGGTGTTTACCCAAAGGATACAAAAATACTGATTTCAGTTGAAGAGATACATATACCCTGATGTTTATGGCAGCATTATCAACAATAGCCAAATTATGAAAAAAAGCCCAAATGTCCATTGATTGATGAAGATGTGGGGTGTATGTAAATATTATATATATATAAAAGTATATGTTATATATATAAAATATATATAATGGAATATTACTTGGCCATGAAAAAGAATGAAATCCTGCCATTTGCAATGACATAAATGGAGCTAGAGAGTATAATGTTAAATGAAATAAGTCAGTCAGAGAAAAGACAAATACTGTATGATTTCACTCATACGTGGAATTTAAGAGACAAGACAGATGCACATGGGGGGGAAGAAAGAGTGAGGCAAACCCTAGCACAGACTCTTAGTTAGAGAGAACAAACTGAGGGTTGCTGGAGGGGGCGTGGCTGGGAGAACAGGTTAAATGGGCGATGGGTTAAGGAGCGCACTTGGAGTGATGAGCACAGGGTGTTGTAGGGAAGTGATGAAACGCTTAAATTCTACCCCTGAAACTAATATTACACTATATGTTAACTAACCGGAATTTAAATAAAAACTTGGAAGAACAAAAGTAAAAAAAAACAAAAGTAAAAAAAAACAAAAGTAAAAAAAAAAACAAAGTCGAGCTTTTTTTTTAAAGTTGGGCATTTTTTTAAAATAAAAGTTAAAAAAATAAATCATTCGGCATTATTATTTTCAGGTAATGGTTACTTATGTGCTAGGTGCCAGGGATACAGTGGTGAGAAGTCAACATTTAACCTGAAAACAAGATGAAAATACTGTGAATGAACAATTTCCAGGTGAGAAGTTTGTCGACCTAAGATTTTGCTTTTGGGGAAAAGATACGGAGAAGTAAGGAATAAAGACCTAAGGTGATACTTCTTAAAGTATTTTAATGTTTTCTGGTCCAGAAGCTCATGTTTGGGATTAAAGTAATCATCATTCAGAATGGTCCTTTTTTCCTCTCCCCACCATGGAACATTATTTATAAGATGAGTGGCTTTCTTAAACCTGAAAAGACAGATGGAAGATATTGCTTGAATTTTGTGTAAGAAATCCATAGAACATACAGGGCAAAGGGCAAAACAAATTTGCTTTATCTTGGTAGAGAAAGGGACTTTTGTTTGAAATCATCCTTTTATGGTAAAAATGGGCAGAAATTCAAGCTT